CCGCATACAAAAAATCCGCATAAAAAAGTTATATACTTTCATACAAAAACAGGGGATGCGTTCAGCATTTTCAAAGATCGCCATAAATTCAGGTACTCCATGTAAAAAATTCTAAAAAACCGCATAAAAAATCCAGTGAGGCAATATTAAGGAAGAAAAACAATTTATTTCTTCACTTAAACACTTATTATTCCATGTAAAATTGAACATTACTGAAAAAAATAAAATCGTATCTGTATTTTAACCAAAAACAAAAAATATACCATAATAAATACATGAATTATGTAAGAGGACAAAGACAAATTATTTATCAGAAGCACTGTCTCCTACACACTGAAAAAAGTAATAACAACTCGCAAAAAAGCAAAATCGCTACAGCCAAAAAATGGTTTGAAAAACCGCATAAATTCAAATCCGCATAAAAAGAGACCTAAGTGTATACGATTGTAATGCACTTTGTACGCAATATGTAAAAAACGTAATAAAAACTGAATTGGCATATTTTCTTGATAAAAAGCAACAAACTCCACTCAATTTCCCGATGTTATAAAAATTGGTCCATTTTCTACTATTTGGTCCATTTTTTGGACCGGAAAAGAAGTTGGAAACGACAACCGTGTTCACAACGTTGTACACTAGCTTCTATAGATAGAATGAATAGTACATTTACATTCGAATAAAAATAAAAAGCCTGATTTTGGCAACTTAACTTAACGGAACGCAGAGCTTCGAGAATCAAAATGAAACAGATTTCGACGTGGCATTAAGTTACGTTAAGTTTCGGATGTTCAATTATAAGCAACACCCATTTAACATAATTTTTAAGAGAGAGCCGTAAGTTACGTTAAGTTGCCATAATCAGACCATAAGTCGTGAAAATGCTAGTAATGAATATCGCATGCAGTGTTCTAATACATATACACCCATTTGTATATTATCTAAGATATTTGAATTTTTTTATTTTAAGAAAATGTATTAGTATACATTTGAATTAAAATTGCTTACTTTTTACATATGTATGTATAAGAATTGCTCGTTTAATTTAATAAGATAACTACAAATATACATACATATGTAAAAAGTAAGCAATTTTAATTCAAATGTATACTAATAATAATAACAATATATTGTCGCTTACACATATGTTAGTGTTTGGCCGAGCTTCTCCTCCGATTTGTGGCGTGCGCCTTGATGTTGTCACATAAAGCGGAGGGACCTACAGTTTTACGCCGACTCCGAACGGCGATTGTATTTTTATGAGAAGCTGTTTTTAATGGCAGAAATACACTCGGAGGTTTGCCATTGCCTGCCGAGGGACGACCGCTGTTAAGAAAAAATCTTTTTTCTATATTTTGTGCGATGTTGCTTTGACCAGGGCTTGAACCCAGGCGTTGCGGAGTGGAAGCGCGCACTGCTTACCACTACACCACAGCGGCCGACCTATACTAATACAATGTATACTAATACATTTTCTTAAATATAAATAAATTCAAATATTATACAGGGTGTCCCAGAAGTAACGTGCCAAACTTTAGGGCAAGGTAGGTGGGGGGGTGAGCTCACTGATAAACAAAAAAATTTTAGGTAAAAGTGTCACCGTTTTTGAAATATTTACATTTTTTCGAATTTAAAAAAAATCGTGCCTTTTCATGTGTTTTCTTTAACTGCAACTACAAACCGGGCAATACTTAGTAAATTTTTTATGTAAAATACTTCCAGATAGTTGCCTCTCCATACTCAAATGCAATGTAGTTAAAATAAATTAAGGAACCATCATAAAATTAGGACTATTTCTGGATTTTTAACTTTTTGATATTTTCTTCCCCAACTTTGACTATCTCGGGTGAAAAAAAAATGTACTGAGCTATAACTTTACATTACATAAAAAAATTGCTCATTTAATAAAGATTTCAGAAAGGTGCCACACTTACTGTTTTGAATAGAAAAAAAAAGTTATAGCCGCTTTTGTGGGTAAAGGACTGAGACACGCTAGAATGTATTTAATAGATTTAAATTGAATTTGCTCTTGTTACCGTCAAATGACATGCTAAATAGTACAAAGGTACATTATTACCTGCTCCTGACATTATTTTGTGTTACTTACCGGAATTCGGACTAGAGTCTATAACAAGGGCTATATCTATCAATATTTTTTGTGAAGCATGGATTCACGTGAAATAAAATATACATGAGTCGTTTGAAGAGAAATTTATTCATTTATTGATAAAATATGCTCAAATTGGCGACCTTCTACTCTAATACAAGCTCGGCACCTTTTAAGAAAAGACGCTTTTAGAGATCTTAAACTCAATTGGGCTATCTCAGCAGCAGCTCCATTTATTTGTTCCCGCAAATGCTCTTCGTTTTGAATTGTTTTTGAATAAATTTTGTCCTTAAGACAGCCCCAGTAGAAAAAATCTAATGGATTCAGGTCTGGCGATCGAGCGGGCCACGTGATTGGCCCGTATCGTCCAATCCATCGGCGAGGATAAGTTTCGTCTAAATGAGCTCTTACTTCACGCCCGTAGTGAGCAGGGCACCCGTCATTTTGCAGCCATAGTCTTCGCCGCAGGTTTAAGGGTACATCTTCCAAAAGAGTTGGAAGCCGTTCCTGAAGGAACTCTAAATAACTGTGAGAGTTGAGCGTTGGCGGCAGTTCCACAGGTCCCAATATCTGACAATTAAAAATACCGCACCATAAATTTATTTTGTACCGGTACTGCGAACGATCTTCTCTCATTTCGTGAGGATTGTCTATCTGCCAACTGTGAAGGTTATGTAAATTAAAATAACCATCACGTTTGCATGATGATTCATCGCTCCAAATTATTTTATTAAAAAAGTTGGGGTCTGATTCATGCATTCGCAACATTTCACGGCAAAATCTAACCCTCGACAGGTAATCTCTTTCCTGTAGAGCCTGAACACGTTGAATGTGGTAGGGATGAAATCGATGGTCTTTTAAAGCTTTGTGAACTGTAGTTTTTGGTATTCCCGTCCGTCTTTCCATCATTCTCACTGAAGTCGATGGAGCTAGTTCCACTTCCTCTAACACAGCTTCAACATCTACCGTTGCAGGACGTCCTGTTTCGCCGCCACGCCTTCCAGGTATGCGACCTTAAAAAAGTGAAAAATGATAGTTAACAAGCAAGCAAACAAGAAAGGTGTAAAAATCACTTACCTTCATATATTTCTCTATGGGTCCGGGCGAATACTTCTCGACCCGGATGTCGACGATTGGGGTATCGCTCTGCATAGAGTCTTTGAGCAGCTCTGGCATTACAGCAAGCTTCACCGTAAATTAGGTGAATATCCGCATATTCATGCGACGTATACTGCGTGTTCTCTGTCATAGTATTAATAACACAATGTTCGAAGGGTCCAATTTCACAAAATCCACTTTCACTAATTCCGGTAAGTAACACAAAATAATGTCAGGAGCAGGTAATAATGTACCTTTGTACTATTTAGCATGTCATTTGACGGTAACAAGAGCAAATTCAATTTAAATCTATTAAATACATTCTAGCGTGTCTCAGTCCTTTACCCACAAAAGCGGCTATAACTTTTTTTTTTCTATTCAAAACAGTAAGTGTGGCACCTTTCTGAAATCTTTATTAAATGAGCAATTTTTTTATGTAATGTAAAGTTATAGCTCAGTACATTTTTTTTTCACCCGAGATAGTCAAAGTTGGGGAAGAAAATATCAAAAAGTTAAAAATCCAGAAATAGTCCTAATTTTATGATGGTTCCTTAATTTATTTTAACTACATTGCATTTGAGTATGGAGAGGCAACTATCTGGAAGTATTTTACATAAAAAATTTACTAAGTATTGCCCGGTTTGTAGTTGCAGTTAAAGAAAACACATGAAAAGGCACGATTTTTTTTAAATTCGAAAAAATGTAAATATTTCAAAAACGGTGACACTTTTGCCTGAAAATTTTTTGTTTATCAGTGAGCTCACCCCCCCCCACCTACCTTGCCCTAAAGTTTGGCACGTTACTTCTGGGACACCCTGTATATATATATATCCATAGGGTTCTCGGAATCGGCTCTAACGATTATTTCTTGATTCCAAAGGTTTTGATCGAGAATAATGTTTATGTTGCGATTTTTTTTTCACTCTGCTTTCACTGAGCTTTATATTTTCGCTCGATCATAAGGATTACTTTTGATTTATATTTTTTTTGCTCAGGAATAATGATAAACTTGTGATTTTTATTTTTCCGGTTCAAGAATAATGATTGACACCTGATTTTTATTTTCTTTCCCCCAACATAAAACCCAAAACCTTATACAACCAATATCATATGAATTATTGGCTTGAAATTTTGTAAGAGCACACCAAGAAAACACCAAAATAAGTTTCTTATAGTTCCTGAACGGTCCATTTTTATTTAATTTAAAAAACCGTTATTTTCATATTTGATGTACTTATCTAATAACAGCTTGACTATTGTTAATCCGATTTTGAAAATCAAACATGTTGTGAAAAGGGAATCTATAGACCTTTAAAACTTTGTATAACGTTAGAATTTGCATGTTGGTAGTTTTCATCGGCTAAATTAAAAAAAAAAAACCCTATTTTTATACCCGAGCGCACTTGTGTACAAGGGTGTAATAACCTCGCATAACGCTTATTTGAAAAGCCTAAAAGAATCGAGATACATAGATATAGACAAATGCATACATAAATGCTCAGAATGAAAAGAGAAGTCGACTAAGCGTGTCTGTCTGCCCGTCCGTCCGTCCGTGTACACGATAACTTGACTAAAAATTGAGATATCTTTACGAAATTTGGTAAAGAGGTTGCCCCTTACCCAAGGTAGGTTGGTGTTGAAAACGGCGGAAGTCGGAATGTAACTACTAGAGAGGTAGCAAACCATATGTATTCGTTACTTAGTAACGGGTAAAACCCCTGACTTGAAGTACCGAATCGTTACTCATATAATAATCTCGTTACGCATTTTCAGTGAACTAATACAACAATAGATATTTAGTCTGTTCCAATAGCAGTCCGGTTTACAGGATTAAGTCAGAACTTACAGAAAGTCGTTCCTATAGACATAAAACCTGTAAGTGGGAACACTTTTAAGAGAGTAACTGAGCAACTGTTCCTCGCCAGAAGTTACAGCATTTAGGTTGCCAACAGAGTGGAAGCGAAGCCGATGACGAGGATGAAGACGAAGCCGAAGACGAATTGCTTGCGTTGCGGGCAAGCTGGCGAGTGTACATAGTGGAAGATGAATGATAAGAAGATTTGTTTCTAAATAAAACCCTTTTTTTAGATAAAATCAAAAGAAAATAAAGAAAAAACAGCAATTTATGAAATAATTTGTATAGGATAACTTGTGGAGAATTTCGCCACTTGTATTATGTGTTACGGCAAGACGGACAGACATTTTTCGAATATACAAGAATTCCAATTAATACGTTTGATTACATTTTGCCAAAAATTTAGCCAATTTCTTAAAAAACGCGTTTTTCACAATTGCAAACAGTTAAATAAATTGGAAACAACTCATCACAGCAAGCGGTTCGTCATTGAAAACAGTACCGCACTGTTTCAAGCTGACTGCTTGCGCAACGTCTTCATCTTCGTCTCCGTCTTTGCTTGCTCTGTGATCACTTTCATATGTTTACTACTGCACTGTTTTTCGTCTTCGGCTTCGTCTTCGGCTTCGCTTCCACTCTGTTTGCAACCTAAGTCCGGAGTTTTTCTTCCTGTAAGCTCATGAAAAGTGTCAAACGATAGGCAGGGTTGCATTTGTAAACGAAAACAGAAAGCGTTGAAAGCAAAGAACCTTATATTTGTTAAAAAATGGATGTAAAGAAAGAAATATTTGAATGTGTATAGATTTTCATAATTATTTAGTGATATTTCAGCCAAATCAGTGTTGTACTACTGACATGTAAAGTAACCTGCTGACATTTTTACAGGAATAGTGGGTTTTTGCGTTTCCGTACACTTCTGCATCTGTTCTCCTTTTACTCTCACTTGAGAGAGTAAAATTGTAGTTTGACAGTTCCACAGGTTTTAGTCCGCAGTTCAAAGGAACATACTAATTGTGGGTAGCGTTGCCGTTTTGATTAAATTTAAGCAAAAGGAAACTGCCTGTTAAAATGTTGAATTTTTCTTCGTTTTGCTAAATTGTTTGATTAAAATAGTCAAAAAGGTAAAATTTCCCTTATCATAGTCATAAAAGTCACCATTTCAACCAATTTTCCAATTTTATTTTAGGAAGACTGTTATCCATATCCCGCATAAAGTTCCAGGAAATGTTTCTCTACGCAACTCCTGACTACGGTAGCCACTTTGGTAAAATGTTACCAGAATTCTCTTTGGTAATTTGGTAATTTCCGATCTCATTTGGTAACTTTCAGGCAAAATGCTTAAAAAAATTAAAATATTTTTGAATATCATACATTACCTGCGGCAAAATTACATATACGCAGCTGATTTCTAAAGGCTCTGGCACATCAGCATCCGTGCTGCTTTGGCGTTGGTTTTGCTTTGACAGCTAAGATAAGCACATACGTTTATATGAAGCTGTTCACATAGGCAATGCTGACGCCAGAGCAACACGAACGCTGGTTTACTCTTGCCATTTTGCGCGCGTTGACAGTCCATTGATCAAATCAATCGCTTTTTGCTTATAAACACACAAAATCATGCAAAGAAAAAACGAACAGGGACCGCGACGCCCAAATGCTTCTATTTTAAAAATGTTTGAAAATGTTTCTTAATTGTAAAATTCCAGTTCAAAAACTAAAAAAATCGCTGTCAGAGCATTCATTGTAGCAAACACTTCCGCTACTTGCGTTTCTGTCAAAATGAAACAACGCCTGAGCGACGCGAAAGCTGTATGTGACAGAGCCTTTATTGAATGAACTTGTGTTTGATGATAGATACGAAATTGTGATTTATGATTGGCGATATGCCCATACATATCTGCATACACATGTGCGATGATAAGCTAGGGTTTTGGTCGACGAGATTTTAATAATAACCTGTGAAATAATGAAGGTATCCTTGCCTCAAAAGAGATTTATTTCCGTACTACATAGTAGTTTATTTACAATGTTAAAGTTGATTTAAATTTAATCAAATAAAAGTACAAGGAATTGGTCTAAAGGGATGAAAATCTATAAATCAGTGATTTCGCTGGATCTCAAATTTTAATTAAAAGTCAAGCTACTAACAAAGATAATCGATAGGTTAATAAAATATTTATATGGAAACTTTCATATAAGCTCGAAAGTGTAAATGTAACGCCCATTGTTTATTACAAAAGAAAAAAGGCTTTTAATACTTTTGGTAACTTTTTGGTAATAATTTTAAATAATTTTGGTAAATTTTTTTCCAAGTGTGTGGCAACCGTGCTCCTGACTCGCGGTCGTCGCATTTTCAAACATGCGATTGAACTTCTGCCATGAAATCGCTGCTCATAAAAACCATTTACCGTTCGGAGGCGACCCAGAACTTTAAGTCCCTTCACTGGCATGACAAGATCAACACGCACATTATAGATAATATGGTTTTGGTATTTTATGCAAAAAAAGGAACGGGCAGCTAATTATTGTAAGAGTATATGTTGAAAGCCTGAAAGAATGTGTAGGTAAATAAATGTTTTTAAATTAAGCAACTGTTAGAGTGTGAAATCCTTACTTTTTACGAAAAAACTGAGCTTTATATTGCCTTTGCTTACTTAGTTGCTTACTTTTTATTTCTATACCCAATTTACCAAGCTTGGTAAGGAAAGCCCAAATACGGCTTTATTTAAACCAAGCATTTTTCGTTTAATTAAGACCCGTTAAATAAGTTGCTTGATTTTTACGGGATTTAGTAAATATTTTGGTCGATTTTGGTAAATTTTTTTTTTCGGACGAAGCAAAACTGATTGTGGGGGAACGAAACTGTTCTCAGAGTAGAAATGAACGTTTGTATCGATACAAAAGTATGTACATCAGTAGTGGGCACTTCATATCACGCGTACAGCGCACCTATACGCTTTTCACACATATTTGCTCACACATTGGCGCGTTCATAAGTCGTAACTGTTGGATAACCGTTGGCTGTTTGTCTTAGAAACGCACAGTTGAGTAGTTACGCTCAGCTCAACAGTTGGCAACTTTCCGCCATTTTTACCAGCGGAACATTTTTACGCTACCTGTACTCAACGTGTTGGGCTTAGCCTAAACAGCTGATCGAAAAGACTTACGCCGCTTTTATTAAATTTAACGCCGCTTTGTTGGGTGGCAGTTGCAAACAAATTTATTATATTTTATATTACTGGCGTGATAAAGTAACTAAAATATTTTATAATAATACTACGTTTCTAAATATATGTTTCTAAGATGTTTGCTATATAATTTTACACTGTTTAAATCATTGTAACATTCAACGACTTTTTCAACACGGCGGCCGCTCAGCGTTGAATTCTAAATAGTATCGGCGCAACTATCTCTATTTGTTGCAATTTCATTTGTTTACATTTATCAGCTGTTCATTTGGCAGCATATTCATCAAGGCGTTTCTAAAACGTAATTGTTGGGTTCAACAGTTGCCAGCAGTTTCGTAGCAGATGAGCTAAACAGCTACGTCTTATGAACGCGACCAACATATTGCCGAACAAAAAAACGAAATTCAACCAATGAATCAGTCTCGCATAAGTTGTTGCCGCGGCATGTTGCGTTGTTTGCACACTTCAAAGCGCGCAGTTTTTGCCGAAAATTAAGAGTTGTGCTTGCGTTTTTCTTGAATTCCAGAATCATGCGCGCACAACCTCCTCGTTTCAACAGAAGTAATCGACTGAATGACCGAGTCGTCCGTTCTCGGCAAAAGACAATAACACATGCTCAAAATATGATAGTTGTTGAAGACATGGGCAATAATTGCATCGCTTCCCGATACCTTCTCATAGATATTAATTTGCTATTGTAAATTCAGTTCATATCTTTCTAATATATATTATTGTATAATATATATATTGTATAATATATATATTGTATTATTGTATTGCCCCTAACCAAATATTGTACATACTGTCACCTCATCTGACTTTGTATTTTCGAAATTGAAATGTAGTAGTCGAACTTGATTCAATAATACAAGGTTAGATAATTATTGACAGCTGCGGTTTGACACTCCCTTACAAAAGGCCGCATTTACGAAGGACGGAGAAAAGGGGAGCAATGAAATCTCTTGGTGCGAAAATGGTAGTAGAAAAGTACACAAAGTAGGCAATTAGTAGTGATATTCCTTTTGTAAATTCTAAAGTATTTGCAGGAAATCTGGCATTTTAAACGAAATGTTGAACGTAATATTGATATATCTATGTGGATTACGTAATTTATGTGCTATTTAGCTGTATGAAAACTGCAAAATGACTCAAAATTAAATTAAGAGTAGTCTTATGAGATTGATGTAAACAGCCAATTTAAAAACAGTTTATGTTTTCATCAGTTAAATATGCTTCATATGCATATACAAATAAACATATTGCGCAAACGCTCATACTTCTATTTCACACCAAAGCTACACTGTTTCCATGTAAATGTGCAAAGAAGCAACACGGTGCCACTTCTAAGGGAGCGGTGCGAGAGAGACAACTGTCAGTTTATCGAACCTTGTATTATTGAATCATGGTAGTCGAATGCATTGTAAGCGACGGTACGGTGGGAGTCGTCCTCGCCGGTGAAGCGGTGGTCACTCAATTTCTAACGGCTTTCGCAGCCGCTTCTCATTATTTGTCTCCCTTTGTATATCACCACTCGGGCAAATTATAACTCAGCAAATTGTTATTGTATTATCTCTTATAATATGTATCAATAAATCGGTGAATCTCAATTTGAAGTACAAACGAAACTGTGTTCTTTAATATTAANTTGTTATTGTATTATCTCTTATAATATGTATCAATAAATCGGTGAATCTCCATTTGAAGTACAAACGAAACTGTGTTCTTTAATATTAAAACCTCTCCGGCGCACCCGGCGCTACTCTTGCTACACCTCAAAACAGCAACATGGTCCTTCGTCGCTAAAATAGCAACCCGCGGCCTAGCGACAAATCCTCCCTCTCATTAACAAACATATGTATGTACAAAAACACAGTCGACAAATTCNGCTTCCCGATACCTTCTCATAGATATTAATTTGCTATTGTAAATTCAGTTCATATCTTTCTAATATATATTATTGTATAATATATATATTGTATAATATATATATTGTATTATTGTATTGCCCCTAACCAAATATTGTACATACTGTCACCTCATCTGACTTTGTATTTTCGAAATTGAATTGTAGTAGTCGAACTTGATTCAATAATACAAGGTTAGATAATTATTGACAGCTGCGGTTTGACACTCCCTTACAAAAGGCCGCATTTACGAAGGACGGAGAAAAGGGGAGCAATGAAATCTCTTGGTGCGAAAATGGTAGTAGAAAAGTACACAAAGTAGGCAATTAGTAGTGATATTCCTTTTGTAAATTCTAAAGTATTTGCAGGAAATCTGGCATTTTAAACGAAATGTTGAACGTAATATTGATATATCTATGTGGATTACGTAATTTATGTGCTATTTAGCTGTATGAAAACTGCAAAATGACTCAAAATTAAATTAAGAGTAGTCTTATGAGATTGATGTAAACAGCCAATTTAAAAACAGTTTATGTTTTCATCAGTTAAATATGCTTCATATGCATATACAAATAAACATATTGCGCAAACGCTCATACTTCTATTTCACACCAAAGCTACACTGTTT